TTCCCCTTCAAAGCACTACGTTACTCAAGAATAATAGACATTTAGTCAGGGTAGACAGCATATTGCATTTGACACAAGCGGAAATAAGGGTTTGAGGGATAGATAAGAGTCAATATATTATCGACCGTTCAGCCGGAGAAACACGTACATTATATATTCCTGCACATTTCAAGTGAACGAGAAACAGAAAGCATGGGTTGTAAATATTAGATAAGAGGTCGACTGAACAATATATCCAATCCATCAAATTAAATATAGCATATAAGGTACCCTGGTCTGTTGGCGCTTAAGTTTTGTGGTCATGTAAAGGTACGCTCATGCCTTTACCCATAGTTGTCGAAGTACATAAAGACCTGTCAAAATACAAAAGATACGTTTTGTTTCCGTGTCAAGACTGAAACTGATGGCTTTTACTGTTGTTTATCATATTGTGGATTTATTCAATCCTTCTGCCTAAACACCATTGCTGAAATTGGATAAGTTGCCTCATGTATGCCCTTGGCCAACTGTAGTCCCTCAGAGAAAATATTCAAATCCCTTTTTCATTTGTGCTCAACAAGAGGGCATGGCAGAAACAACACGGTTAGCCCAGCAAGACCTAGAAGTGCACTTCACAGGGCCAAGTCTTTGGATTCTCAGGGCATTTTGAAAATAGATGCGTGGGTGTGCATGTAAGTTGTGCATTTCTGACTTTTGAGCACATGGGTTTCTGAACTCTGTGTTCTTTTGCTAATATTACTGTATGTATGTCTGCTCTCTTATGCTCTACTGCTCTCTTTCTTGCATGAATGATTGTCATGTTTAGAGGATGCATTAAAGGGGTCATATGATGTTGCTAAAAAGAACATTGTTTTGTGTATTTGGTGTGCCTTTCTGAAACGCCATGATTTTTACAAAGCTCATCGGTCTGAAAAGCGAGGTGTGCTGTGACTGACCAGCTATCCAGTGTGTTGTGATCGGCCGAATACCTCAAGCGTGTGAAAATGACCGCTGAAAATTCAGCTTTGCCATCATAGAAATAAATTATATTATAAAATGAAATAGAAAACTAGAATATTTTAGACTGTAATACATTTTCACAATATTACAATTTTTTTAGTAAAATGTTGTATTTTATTGCAGCAATTTGGTGAGCATAAGAGACTTCTTTCTAAAAAACATAAAGTGTTTAATTATTCCAAACTTTTTGACTGGTATATATATATATATATATATATAGAAGTGGTGATGGGCCGCCTGGACCAAAAAATGCCAGGGCCGATT